TTATTAGTCGTTCATACCTAATCACATTCGCACTCAATTGGAAAAGGTCAGGAAATTTCTTGTCCTGAAATTTCTTTTTTAAATCAAAGTTCAAGCAGCTCTGAGCGATTTTGACAAATTCTTTTTCGGGCAGAGGCACAAAACACTTGCTTCTTGCTATCTTGAACCTTTGGAGAAAACTTTTTGCCCATTCGTTTGGCATTTGACGTAAATTCGTCAAATCAGCCAAAGTGACTTCAGACTCAGTTTTATAAAACGGAGCGTGAAATAATTGTTCCAATTGTTGCCATGTTTGAACAGAGTTCGCTGGCAAGTTGATGAGCCAGGAGAAAGCTACTCCTGTTAATGAACTAGGGAAAAGCCTCATTTTATGGTAATCGGTTACATCACCACTTTGCAATGTGAATCACCCTATGTGTTCTAGAGTAGACACCTCTCCTAAACCGGTAAACAGTGAGAATTCTGGCACCTTATACCCTCTAGGCCATGGGTATGCTTGGTCTACCCAATCAGGGTATGGCTTTGTGTAAGTCGGCCTAATGACGGGACGCACCCCAAAAGCCATCTGATTCTGTACGATTTCCATAATCTGATTCCTCAACATGACGTTGGGGTCATATGAAATTCCTACAGGTTGGTTAATCGGTTGATTTGCATGAGATCTGATATTTTGTCCTTGATTGGCAAAAAAATTACCATGATTAGGGCCATTACCATTAGCCTGAACATCTATTCCCTCATTAACACGTGGGGTGTGCTGTCCATTGTTTAGGACATTATCTCTTATGTTTAGATTACCCTCCAAGTTAGGCATATCGCTACCATTGTTCTGATTTGGCACTGCAGTACCCCCTTGGTTTGAAGTAGAGGGACCAGAAAGTGGTTCTATCCCTTGGTTCGGGCTTAGGACTGAGGGATTATGTCCCACAATTGTCCTAGCTTGAAAGTGATTTGCAAGAGGTATAACCGGTTGACATATTTGGCCTACTAACTTATTCATTGTTTCGTTCAAAGTGTTTAGTTGTTTAGCCATGTTGTCATAGTGTGCATTCCCATTTTGGGTAACTCTTTCCATATTATGCATACTTCGAAGATTTACCTGTTCAACAACGTCTTGTGTGAGTTCTCCAAGTAATACACGCATGGCTCGAGGACTCAACTCCGTCATTGGTTCGTAACGACTGTTACTGCTCTGATTCTGTCCATTTGTTCATGGAGAGGCATGCTGCTCCTCATATCGCTCGATCACAGACTGGATTCCTCCCTGACTTGCTGCTTCCTTATCGGATCTCTGAGGCATATTGTTTTACCTTTTGTACTTTCAACACCAAACACCACTGTCCCACTGAACGTGCCAAATTGTTTCGCGCGGGTTAGTCGCTAACAATTAAAAGGGATCAGACGATTGTGTAAGGGACAAATCTTTTGAGACAAAGTCCCAAAAAGGGGTGTTCTTTTATTAACGATGACTTTACAATTGGAAATTAAAAACAAAGTGCTTCCAAGGGGCGCAAACACACGAGTTACTGAAAAAAGTGTTTAAATCTAAGCTAAGGAAATTAAAATTACATGTTCTCTGTTCGAAAGTTTTTGATTCGGTCTCTTTTTCTCTATGTCTTTTCTCCCTTTTATACTTCATGGACGATCTCTTTGTGATCAACCGCCTAAAAACTGCTTGATCGTCCTATAACTGCCCACTTTCCTCGTAATGGCTAACTTGTCATGAAAACTGCCTTTTTTTAACTGCTGCCATTACTCTTCGTCGTTCAACCGCTTTCGATTGAATTCCTTGAATCGTGGAACGTGATAGGGTTGCTTTAATAACTGCTTTGATAACTGCACTTCTTGATAACCACAACGCTTTATGTTTGTTAAGACCTTGGGTGACTTGAAGGTTTGGGCGAGAATATAGTAACAGTTCTGGGTGACTGTATGGCACTCCATTCGCTCAGATTCTGGGCGACTTGCAAACTTGGGCGATGGCGTTACCGCGTTCTTGGGCCTCCCTATTTGGGCCTTCATCTTGATTTGTTTGATTGTGCTTCGTTCTTTGGGCTATCTGATTTGGGGATTCTCCAATTGGCTTCATTCCTTGGGCCGTTTGATTTGGACTGAATTTTTATGTGTCAACAGAAATAAAGTGAATTCTATATGTGAGAGAAGAATTTAAAAATGACGGCTGAAATAATGTAATAACGATAAAAAATTGATTTTAATTGGATTAAAATCTCTAACAAACAAGCTCTAAGTGTAATAATAATTTCACATTCAAATAAAAGTTCTAATTAAAATTCAAGTAGGATATTAGTTTACACTTAATTACATGTTTTGTCCTAAAATTTCAATTACAATTATAATTAAAATCTTGTTTGGGAGTGATTTTTCATCCCAAAAAATTGATTTTTTGACTGTTATTTCACTATTTCAGCCGTAAAATTTGACTTCTTCTCTTACAGGTGGTCTCCACTTTTCTCTTAACGGTCACAAAATCAATTCTCAAAATCACTCCCAAACGGTGCCTAAATTTACAACTTTCATGGTAATTACAATTAAGTATAAAACTTTATCGTAATTACAATTAAACTTAAAACTATTATAATTACCGTAATTAAGTTTCAATACTTTATGGAACTACCATAGGGACCTGATTGAATATATATTATCCAAACTCCAATAACTAGATCATGTTTAGTTGACCCTAGACCGCCCAATTTAATTATTAGTCTTTATTTTTTCCACTAAAGATAAAATAATGAACTTTTGAAATATATAATATCACAGAAGCTAATAAATCTATGATATTTTCCTCTGACCTGTCATATATGTATTTTATCCCAGTCAAATCCGATAATTATGTACGAACATAAATGATTGTTTTGCCCTTCTAATTATTCTCACTAACTTAATTACTATTTTCTTCAACGGTCCTTTGAACTAATCACAGATATCGAAATTTAGTCGTTGCTAAATATTGAGCTCAGATTTAATCGTTCATCAGAAAATATTTAAGTAGTCACTCTAACCATTTTTTAGGGTGACGATTCCCGACACAAATTTATGTTCTCCGCTCTCAAGTTCCCAATTCATCGAGATATTTGACTAATGAAATTGATCTCATCCATTGATAAATCAAAAAATAATTAAAATCACGAAAATATATACACAGTCCCGTAAAGGGATTTAGATGAAATACATAGTGGTCAAGTGAAATTTAATTCTTCGCACGATCATGCTATAGAATGAAATTCGACACCTAATCCGTTCAATACATTCCAAGTGCACGATTGTTACCTTTAACTACTTCTGTAATAAGGACAAATCACAAAGTCGAATAATAAATTGGTCAATACTACAATCTTCCAATACAAAGTGTCAACCTTTATACATAGATTGTGAACAAATTATTTATGATCAAAATATAAGTTGTGTCACATTATACTTCTCAACGCAAGTACCCAACTCATATTATCACAAGTGATCACAAACACTTTAATTTTGCATGCTCAATATTAAATAAATACAATAAATAAAGTAAACATAATTTTATCAAATATAAGAATATTGTTATTTTTACATCAACAAAACTGTACATATGGGCACACAACCACACTATCCTTGTCAAAATCATGAAAGTTTGAATTTGGAACTGTTATTGACATTGAAAAATTCTCTCCAGTTCTGCTTGATGGCAAGTACCGATTGATTTGGTTAGGTGCTTGCTATTAGGGGGCTCCTTCCATACCTTAGTTCTTTCCGGCTAATTTCCCTTTGCTCTTTCAATTTCTTCGACACCATCGCATTAGACCCGCAGAACAACAATCAGAAATCAAATAATACAAATTCGCAGTAAAATAAGTTCATTTGATTTTGGAAGGTGAGTATTGTTAATGGATTGGTTTGGAGGATTGGGAAGTGGACGGTAGAAGAGAGAAAGGGGATTGGAAGGAAAAGTTTCTTGGAGGTGGTTGGGTGGTATATCTGTGACAGATTTGTAATTTTTGAAAGTTTGATACTATAATTGCAATTAGTCTTTATTTTTCTTTTCTTTTCTTTTCTTTTTGTTTTATTGAATAGGGAGGTAAAATTGTCAAAAATGAAAGAAAAGGACCTTCTATGTAATGAAAGGTGAAAATGTCAAAAAATGAAATGTAAGAACCCACAATTCTTATATCCGGTGAGAACAAGTTGATGAGATGTGAGCACCTTAAGATAGAAATATGAACATGAGCTCAATCCAGACCAACCATGGTTATTGGTTAATTTTTCTGTAAAATTTTAAATGCGACCTAATTTAGCTCACTTAATTGAGATCAAATTGAACTGAAAGAAGTCGTCCAGAACCAAGTTGAGCCGTGTGGAAATGGGAAAACCTCAATTATATGAGATCCAATTCTTGTCCTTTTCATCAATTTTTATTCACTAAATTGTCAATTATACATATAATTGAAAAGGAAAAGAGAAATAAGCACGTTCCCTTATTAGAAGACAATCTTGGCACACGACGTTGGTTTAATATTTGGGTTCTCACCCGCCAATTCAATTCTCAAATTGCATATTCGTTTTGACAAAAATGGACTATAATGTTCTCATTCTCAAGTAGAAAAGCCTTTGTAAGGATAGAAGGCTCGGGTTCGAGGTAAAAATCTTTTAGTCTTCATCCCAATCGTCAAATTTACATCAATATATGACGACAAACTAAACTAACAAAGGGCATGATGATAGTTTGAAGGACTGAGCCACATGTACAGTCCAACCCCCTCACGTGTTGGGGGTGACGTGCTCGATAAAAAAAATTGTGAGCCCCCCACATGTGAGGGGACTGTCATCCGAACTGCGAGCTCTGATGTACAAGCATCAATTACCTAGTTTGAATAAAGCCCAAATAGAATTTGTAACGAGTCATTAATATCCGTAAATGGAATCAAATATTTGTGCTTTCTTATCCTCTCTACCACCAGCATGATTTGTTTGTACGTCTTAAACATGCAGAGCACAAGCTATAACAATAAACGGCACTCAATATCAATCGCTCGACCAGAAGAACAAAAGCCAATATGTCTAAAATCAACACGATGTTACAATACCATTGACAAAAATGGGAAAAGAAAATCACACTGGGGGATTTGAAAAACTAAAAGCACTAGCAAATGCATGATCCGAAGTTGATTTGCCCAGAACCACACTTCAAATTAAACTTAATAATACCAAGGGAATAAAAAAAAAGAAAAATTCCAGCTAAACAGCACACATATCTCACAGAATAAAAACCCGCAGATGCCACGTACCAATATACATTTGCACGATTATAAAAAGGGAACTGAATCAGGGGACAACTCCAATATCCTTGAAGTACTCATGCTCGAGAGCACTTCTGGCCGTGATTCTTTTGCTGGGATCCAAGCAGAGCATTTTCTGAAATGGTAATCCAAGAGTGAATCAGCAACACAAACGTCAACTTTTCTTTCTTTCCTTCCTTTTCTAACGAAAAAACTACAGATAGTGATCCTAGATAGATATACTATAAGTTTGGTAAAGCTTTATGTAGATTATAAGTTGTGATCGATCCTACAGAATGTGTGGATAAAAAATATGGGGTGTTCTAAGGGGTGTGTGGATGAATATAATGATTGATCAGCTTATAGGCTTGAAAAGACTTGACCAAACATACCCTTAATATTATAATCAAGTAGATACTATACATGTCTCAAGATCATTCAGTTTCCAGGATTTGAGGTAAGAAACCTAGTAACCTTCAAAATTCTCCACAATATAGTTAACTATGTTAATAAAATTTAAAGTTAACCCACAAACCAAAGGGAACCTTAAAACTGAAAAAGAACTAGGAGGTGAGTCTGATTCCATGGGGTAATTGAGAAGGGTATAACACATTATTTTATGCAGGAACATACGAAAAGCCAACTAAACATCATTTTCATCAAGTTTGGGGTAGAATATTTCATTCTGTTTACTTTATCGCTCCATTTACAATAAGATCAAATGTATCTAGGTCCTATACGAAACAAGATGTTAATTTCGGTTTACCACTCTATCTTCGAACCTGTTGCATTCAGATCACATCATTATCATATTATTATTGTTTTTAAATGCCCACATTCCGCGTGTTCCAGGTATCATATTAAAACTCAACATCTTGACAACTTTGTTGGAAGGATTCTGTCTACATTGTAATATGTAGCGTTTAGGTGAGAATAACGAAAGAAATTGTCAAGCTGTGATAAATACAGGTATTGTCAAAGAAAAGTGTAGATGCTTGGCTGAATTTACAATATGCTCTAATGAACCATTACATTTGAAAAAGAAAGGCTTTCTAGAAACCGGGGTAATACGCATGTGAAAAATATTTTACACTCTAATATAGAAAAAGAACTTACTCCAAGGAGGTCAAGACCAGCCGCGTCAAGATTTGGAACCACAGTTGCCAAGTCCTGCAAATTTAGATTTTTTTAATTTTAATTTTAATTTTAATTTTATTTTTTAAATTATATCCAAGATATTGATCACAAGGAATAAAAAAATAAAAAAAATTATACAACTCCAATTACCTTAGGAGGCCATTTTGGAAATGCAGATTTAAAATCAGGCAAAGAAGTCACTCCCGGCCATGTATCTTCATTTGGAGTTCCTGTGATCCTTCATTACAAATGGGAAAAAGACATGAAATGAATAATAAATAATATGCTGAAGAATTCCACATGAGATTGATATATAGTTACGGTTGCTTAAATCTTTATAGATTGTCCCTCCCACTTCAACCCTCAAGCAATAAAAAGAATGGGGGAATAGGACGTCAAAGTAAAAAAAATACAGGTTATTGAACTTGTACATCATAAAATGAGATATACAGATGAAGTAGGTCATTTAATGCAGCAAAGAAGACAATTATAAGCATTTTCATGCACAAATTGTGCTAAATTCCAACAAGATTCTTTAGTTTATGGTGATGACACGACAATCCATCGAGTGGGTACAAATGATTTCAAAATAATCAAAAACGACGGGAACCATTCCTGAAAAGATATAGCACCTGAAAATCTTAAAGAGTTCATCAATCTCAGAGTCACCAGGAAACAATGGTTGTTGGTTCACCATCTCAGCAAATATACAACCAACTGACCACACATCAACGGGAGTAGAATAGTGGCGGGATCCAAGAAGAATCTCTGGTGCTCTGTACCATAGAGTGACCACCTGCAGAGAAATATTTATCCACAGCTGAGGGAAATTAAAACAATGTATAGATCAAGCTGTACTGTAGTGTCACACCCGCGAAGAAATATCCACATAGCTTAGGAAAGAAAAACAATTGATAGGTCAAGTGAAAAATTCCACTTATGGATTGCGTTAGGGATAAAAACACTAGAAACAAAGTACAGGTATTTTTTACCTATTTGCTTCAGCTTTACAGCTAAAAGGGACCATTTAGAGTGCTTAAACTTCTAGGAAAAGGTATCAAGTTCATAACATTTACCTCATGCGTAAATGTCCTGACAGGAATACCAAATGCTCTGGCCAACCCAAAGTCTGCAAGCTTCAATGCATTAGTTTGGCGGTCTATCAGCAAGTTCTGAGGCTTCAAATCTCGATGAAGGACTCTATGAGAATGGCAATAAGCAATACCACGTAGTATTTGATATAGAAACATCTGCAAAATAGAGGTTTGACTTAATAATAACATTGACTTGCAAACAGAAATCTAGATGAAATCTTCAGTAAATAGAAATCCATCAACCCTCTTCAATGACAAACTTAATTCAAAATTTCAAAGCATCCTCACGTTAGACAACCTCCAGTGGGCGCAAAGAAGATACTCACTTTAACTAGACGAGGATCCTTCGAGAATTCTGGGCAAGAATCCATGTGCTTCTTCAAGTCCAAGTCCAGATATTCAAATACCAGATACAAGCGCTTCTCACTGTGCACCACATCTTGCAGCCTATCACCATATATTGATAGAAATTTCAATGCACGCAGTATATGAATAATATATAATCTGTTAACAAAGTTAAGCAAAAAAGGGACAATGATGATAATAATAATAACAAAACAATATAAAGCCCCGAATATCATATCAATTTTCTACAATACTGTTAATTGCATTGATTGGGAACAAGATCAATCAGCAATGGGACATTCATATGTGTTGCACAACCTGCCCTTGACACTCTTCCTTCATCTATTTATCTCTGTTTATCTTTAAAATGTACCTTACAATGTTACCATGCTGCATCTCTTTCAAGAGAGATATCTCTCTGATAGCAGTGCTCGGCACTCCCTCATCTTCATGCTCCAGACGGATTTTCTTTAGAGCAATAGTTTCGTTTGTCACGCGATCACGGGCCTTGTACACGACTCCATAAGTTCCCTCCCCGATCTTCTCAACTTTTTCATACTGCGGCCAATATTTAAAGACATCACATCCATTGCAAGCATAAATAAATGAAAGCATACAAGAGAGCAAGGAAGACACAGTTTACCTGCTCCATCTAGTTGAACAGTAAATGCATTCAGCAATCAGCAGTGCAGAAAAATATATACAATAAAAAATAACAGTCAGGACTTCGAAAAGAAGTGATGGGAATATGTGATTATCAGACATGAATGAAATCTGTAAACAGTGAACTTTATAATAAGCATGTTATGCCTTTTACTGTAGAGCATTGCACCTGGACACACAGAATATTATAAACTTATCTTTTTCACATAAATAACTGTTAAATCATATGATATCCAAAAATGAAAAAGCAAAAGGCACGTAATATGCTTAAATTAGAAATCACTTTTATGACACTTATTTATATTCTAGTACTTCTGGAGTTATATACAAAAAAGGACTGAACTGATAATAGATCCACACATTAATAATACAAGAATGCTTTAAATAACTAAAAATTGCCACAAATTCCACTGAAGTTGACAGTCCAAATGACAGAAATAATATATAATATTCCCTTCAATTACCAGGAAAATAACAGAAAAACACCGAATATTCCAATAAATTGCCAAGAAACCAAAGTCGAAAGCCACTCTATATCCTTTGACTCAGAAAATACATCTAAAGCAAACTGCTAGAATGTAAAAAAATTAAAATCAAATTGATGTTTTTCAATGAATTGACTCCAGAGTGAAATCCACATCAAATCATTAGATTAGAGTTAAAATAACATAATATCGACAGTAGATTTTACTATAATTCACTTCACATAGCAAAAAATAAAATAAAAGACCATTAAATTAGAGATTATAAAAACAGAAAATCAACAAGCATTTTTCAACCACAAAAAATTTTCCAGTTCCTCCAAAAAACAATATAAAAGTATAAAGTGCATTACATTGAATATCAGTTGACAAAATCAATCCAAACCCATCAATCACTTCTGCATTTTTTAATTTTCAATTAAACGAATAGGAAATAATTAAGCAAACAATAAAATTAAAAGGTCACTTACCATAGTATAAATAAAAATGCGTGAGCATGAAAAAAGTAATTATGAACGGATATTAGTATGTCTATAAATTATGCAAACGAAGCAGGAAAGTAGAGAGGCGATAGTGATGGAACATACCGGAGATCGATGAAATGTGGGGTGAGAGAGTGAATAGAGAGAGAGAGAGAGGGCAACGGGTTTTGAGGAAAGCAATTGAGAAAGAGCTTTCATATAGGGCTGGCTAAGTCATAGATTGGGTGAAGGTTTTGACCATGGTTGACTTAGCAAGTGGCGTCACTATTTTTATTTATTTATTTATTATTATTTTTAAACTTTTTTCACAAAAAATGAAAAATAGCTTGATGCCTGGATAATCCTTGAGCAATTCCCATTTTGAGACATCGATGTAGAAGACTAAATTTCACTGATCATATCATATTCTCTAGAACGATTCAATATGACTCATTACGTTCATAATTATAGAACTTGGTTTTTGTACTAGTGGATTCCTTACGAATTTGGTTGGAAATGTGTGAATAATCAAATTGCCTTAGTAGATCAACTAGACTATTACTAGGTTAGTGTATATTTTCAAAGAACATAGGCTCTATATACTTATATTCATCAATCTGCTAATCAGAATTTTCTTGAAATTGAAATTTTTCAAGTAAGCAATAATCACAAGCATTCTTCATACTCAGCTCATCAATCGGACATAATAGTTGAATAAGCTAAGCTAGTCTTACCGTCATTTTCTTCTACTCCAGCTTTATACTTCCCCGAAATATCAAATAGCATTACATATGTAACCTGAAGAACTTGAATCATCTTACCAAAGGATTATTTCTCCTACACAATGTCATAGGTGGAGAGTGGAGAGTGGAAAGTGTACTTAAATACGGAACCATTCCACACAAAGCATTTATGTCTAAATAACAATGCCGCCTTATATACTCAACATATGAACAATATATTTTAACAAAAACAAATATTCAATATATTCCATTTTTATCAAACACCTTTAACTATCTTGATTATACTACAATCATCAATCAAGTGACAAAAAAAGAAAAGAAAAATCTCATAAGTGAAATAGATTCACATGATTCAAAGAAAACTCCACTTAGGATCTCGAGCCTTTTGACCTCGTGACATTGAGGAACCGTACTTTGATTTTTAGCAAACTAGGTCTTTAACCTTCCAAACATACATGCTGCCCTCCACCGGAGTCTCAAGTTCTTCCTGCTCTCCATCTCCAACAATTCTGACCTCAACTCGATGGTGTTGAAAGTTGAGTGTATCTCAATCCATTCCTCCACCTCGATGTACGTGAACCTTTTCCAATATTTGGTAAAGCTCCGATGCTTTTCAATTAAATGAAAATTGGCTATATATTGCTTCATAGCATCTTTGCTAGCAGATTGGGCTTCCCTTTTAGCACTCTCCACCTTTTCAATGAGGCTAGCAACTTTGGAGTCAAGATTTCCCGCTAGCTGTTTCAATCTCAACCATTTTTTTCTCAAAACACGGCCTTTTATAGGTGACGGTCATCAATCTCAACCATTGGATTTCAATCCGAACCATTCAACTGTTCATCTAAGATTTAATTTGA